CCCCAAAACCCCAAAACCCCAAAACCCCAAAACCCCAATTCAATATTTTTCCGTTGCATTTAACTTTTATCAATACGGTAATTTTGGAGACTGGAAATTAATGTGTTTTAGGTGCAGAGAGATTAGGGCTTAGGGTAGGAGGTGGATTAGTAGAGGGAGGAGGAAAGTGGAAGTGGCTATGGGAGGGTTGTTTGGCATATTGGAGGGATTAGAGGCATGTAGATGATGGGTCTGTGGAGAGTTTAAAGGTTTTAGGAGGGTCTGATTGGTAGATTCTTAAGGTTTGATTGATGCATTTTGAGGTTATTTTAAGATCTACTAATTGGATCCTCTAAGAATCTTTAAGCTTTCTACAGAGACCCAGCATCGATACGTCTAATGCTTCTGAGAGTCTATTAAATACCTCCAAAAGAAAGAAGGAACCTCTCAAAATCCATCCCAATTACTCAAAATCTCTATTAACCCATCTCCTAACCCAAACCCAAATCTCTCTGCACAAAAACACTTCAATTTTCAATATATACAATCAAAGCCCCCTTCTCAAGACAAAAATCTGCTCTAAAACAGCCTCAAACATCGTATCTACCCCTTTCAACTCTACTGCAAGCAATAATCCCAAAACCTCGCCTAGGCTGACTAGCCTCGCTTTGGCATCCCCTCTTCTTCATATAACTCCCATAAGAATGTACCTGACCTTGTCCAGGTGCCGAAGAAATTAGTGTTGAAATTTTGGGCTTGAGCGGAAATTTTATTTTTAATTACATGACTGTTACTACAAGAACATTCTTGCATCTTTCACACCATATGTTCTTGGTGAGTTTTTAGTAGGAGATGAGAATACGATCTTCATAGCTCTAGTTTTATCCTGGATATACTTTTTCTCACTCCCTTTTGGATTATAAATGATCCAGCTGGGATCTATTCTTTTGAAATTTTCTTTGTCAGGGCTTGCAAAATTCTTCTTTTTCTTGGTGATTTTGGATCTATCTTTCTTACTAGACTCTACAAGGGGAATATAATCTTTATGACATGATGTTTGCGGCATCTCACACAGTGCCTTCTTCCTTGTCCTTGTAGGAATATTAATAGATTTCTCTCTAAATAACGGAAGAGTTTGTTCCAAATTGGCATCATTTGTAATACTAACTGATCAGGAGTCACTATCCAGGTTGCTTTTGTCAATATCAAGATAGCCTCTACTACTGATCCCCGGCTTACGAATCTCTGAAGTTGTGTCTCCACTTGGATATTTATTTGTTACATAAAATGAATTTGTCTTTCTTGGTCTATTAGCATCGTAAAAATCTGGATCTTAGGAGTTGAACATTAATTCTTTGAAAGTTTCATAAACTTACCTCTTCACTGTAAGGTCTCTTCTATTGATAAGAGGAAGCTTGGTCTCTCTAGAGCTTTTGCCAGATTTATTAGGGTAGCCCATTTGCACAAAAGAGTCATCATAAGTCGGGTCTCTAGAAAGATTAGAACCTTGCTTACATTCCATTAGTTGTGACACTGTTGGTGACATCTATCGATTTTGAGTGATTTATTTGAGGTGTTCTGTTAGCAGACTCTGCCTTCTGGCTCGAGGATCTTACTGGCGCAAGTATATTAGGGTTAACGATGCTATAATTTACAGATTCAAATGTACCTTGATGAGTTCACTGAGGAAACACTCGGCCTATGTACTCTTGTTATGGCTTTATTTTCAGTATGGATCGAAGGAAAATTTGAGTGGTGCTCTTGTCCGACAGAGATATTTGATGTCCTTGGGACAGTCAACCTGTCAAATTGAGTGTTTGGCTGTAAGCAGTTTAAAGCACTCATATGCTTCGTTGGTGCTTTAGTCGGAATCGTTTTAGAGCGATGGCTGTATTAACAGTAAGTATAACCAGAAAGTATGATGTGATATCTTACCAAGTTGGCTTAGTAGCACTATCCGAGATCATATCTAAGGTTGTACTAAAGCTGAGCTTATCTTGTTTATTTTATCATCCTTTTAATATGCCTCTGCTTCTGCTTGTTCTCTTTATGCCTTTTAATCTTCATCAAAGGACTTATGAGGGAGTTGTTTCCTTCTAAAAATCAGAAATTGTTAAAATACTCTGAAATTTTTTGTCAATCTCATGATCGTTGGATTCTTGTTCAGCTTTGAGCACGTTTATCTTTAACTCACTGGCTCTGTGGATTTCAGATTTATGCCTTGTCTTTCTCCGCTCTTCAGGGATAGAATTTAAGTCTTTAGAAGCGAGCTCGAAGGCGAGTTTATTTAATACTCCCATAAAGCTGAGGATTATACTGATTGAGCTTAGTTCTGAGCTCTTTATTTCTCACTATTAAAGACAAAGTCAGAGATCATCTTCCAGTCCTTCTGGGCTTTCTCATGAATAGTTTTACAGAACTTGTGCTTGTCTCCAAAAGACATGGATTCCTTCAGATGTTGCTCTTTGTTGTAAGGGGTGATATAGAAGTCTATTTTTTCAAGAATTTTCCTGTCGTGTGACAAGTCATCGTCTATTGCTCGCTCAATTGTCTGCTCAATTGAATTCTCAGGATTAAAGGTTGAACTTTGAAGAATGTTCTTGAGACTTCCTTGGATTCACTTTCTCTCTGTATAATTTACCATGCTCTTCGCCTTTTTGGCAGACCCGTTCTTTTTGGAAGGGGATTGCTTTCCAAATTTTACTGACATTTAACTATCTAATTTCAGAAATAAATTTTAAGAAGCTTCAAGTTTGAATGAGATTCTGGGGTTTTGGGGTTTTGGGGTTTTGGGGTTTTGGGG